AAATTATATCCAATAAATTCTGTTTAAACTAAAAAAATTCCGTTTAAAAAAATAAATATTTAGACAGAAGTAAAAATTAAAAAAAAATTGATTTATTTAATTTATAACTCCTTCATTTCTCTTTACTATATGCTTTAAGATAGTTATTCTGTTTTTCGACAACTTCCTGGCTATTACTACAGTTTCTATATAAATCAAATAGTTCCTGATTTATTCTAAAAAATTCATCTCTATACATAAAACCTTCAAATATATCGTATGCTTCCTCATCATATTCACAGATATATAAAGCTGCTGCAATTGCTTCTACACAATTCAATTTAAATGGTCTACCATAATTAACATTATGGAAGAAGTCTATTGTTTTTTTTAGGAAGAAGTTTAAAATTCACCGTATGTTCCCATGAACAGTCCTATTCCAAATCTATCAATTATATCCTTATCGTTAGGAGAGATTGCTTGATTACCCTTCGATGATAGAACTATTCCTGAAAATTGTTTTCCTGGCTTAAGCCAATGAATTTTCTTTTGTTTTACCAACTTTCTACCACTTCATCGTTTTGGGTCACACTGATCGAATTCATAGATGATTTTACACATTTTATGAATTATTTTTTTGCTAAGAAAAATCGTTAAATACTCAAAAGAGCAGAAAAAGAATTTTGGCAGTGTAATAAGGAAGTAGGGTATATAAAAATAATTTATTAAACGAGAATTCTCGTTTTGTAAAAAAAAGGCGATATTTTTTTATCATAATACTAGCAAAGCTACCCTACCCGTTTTTAAAAAACGGGAGTTAATCATCAATCTATTGCTTTTAAAATAATATTTTTAATATACTTTAAACTTCATCTCATAAGTTCTTTATATACAACATTCCTTCTTCTTCCATTACTGGCTTCAGGCAAAGTAATTCGTAGATTTTCAGAGTTTCTTACTCGTGACAATGCTACATACAGTTGTCCATGTGTCAACAGAGTCTAAGTATATACCAACACTATTGAATGATTGGCCTTGAGCTTATGTATTGTCATTGCAAATGCAGGTATTATAGAGATCTGTCTCTTTTTAAAACGAATGGTAGTATTGTTTCAATTCTTGGTATTGCAACAATTCTACCCTTATTGACTCCTATAAGTGTTTTGCATACAATGTAATAATCATGTAATTCTTTTACAACCATTCTTGTTCCATTAAGCAGACCATTATTTTGATCCAAGTTACGTAAGAGCATAACTGTTCCTACCTTTAACTTTAATATATGAGCTGGCATTCCTGATGGTTGTTGCTTATTGATGAATTCTATAGGATAATTAGTATAATCATTATTGTCCTCAGAAGCAATGGTATCAATACTTACATATGTCTTAGCAACTTCATCAATTTTGTCTATGATTAAAGTATTAAGCTTTACTGCATCATTGTTTCTGCTTGTTAGCATTATCTTATCGTATAATAATTCATCTGTTGTGTCAATACTGCCCTCTCCAAATATACTATTAACTATATTACCTTTCTCAATAAACATTTCTGGTATCTCTACCATGTTATTTGCATCGTTTATACTATTCTCACCTATTTTGAGTAACCATTCGGTAAATTTCTTTTATCCAGTACTACGCATGTTTTCAGTAAGTTTCATAATTTCGACATTATCCTATAAGTTGGAATTTATTATTGATGTTTCAACAACATCATTTCTTGTACCTCTCATAACTACATTAGCAGTTTGTCTAAAGTCTCCACTCAACAATACTGTTTGACCACCAAATATATTGTCATTATTAGTTATACGTCTAAGTACCTCATCGATTGCATTTAATGCATATTTAGATAATATTGATGCTTCATCTATTAGTATAAGTGATGCCTTTGATAATAACATAGCTTCCTTAGAGCCCTCTTTTATTCTTGAAGCTGAATTCTCGAATAACGGTACTGATGACTTAAATCCACTATGAACTGTTTTGGCTCTGTCTAACAAATCTGCTCTTATTCCTGTAGTTGCAAATGGTAATACTACTTTGCCAATACTTTTAATGTAATCGATAATTACTTTGTATAAATATGTCTTGCCTGAGCCTGCTGGACCATCTAAGAACAATAATTTGCCATCTTTATCTATGCTATCAATTACTCTGTCAAATGCTTCTGTTCCGTTATATGACGGAATCTTTATAAATCAAGCGAGGAAATATGATGTCCTCGATTCAAATATTGCTGGCCATCCACGTCCCTGGGAAGACGAAACTTGCCAGATGTGGATAACCCAGGGACCGAAGGCCCAAAGAAATAGCTTATTTTATATACTTGGACAAAACAACCGAAATTCCAGACCACCCGTAGTAAGCAATTTCGTTAAAAGCCGTTTCCGTCTTCTACTCAAGTATTTCCTTTATCATCCACAGTTGTCATTTTCCAGTCGTTTTTTAATGGTATGCATGTTCCACCGAGAAAAGGCATTTTCCGGACTATTGTTTGCTACGGCTAATTCTTGAGACACTCGGATTCTTCGTGTGTGTCACCCGAGAGTACGAGCACTACCTGCGGGTGACCCTTAGTTTGGAGCGGTCACTTTCATAATTTTGCAAACCAATCAGTCAGGACGACCGTTTCCCTCACTCCTCGCAAGAATTGAATAATCCACGAATCCGACTATCTCAATTTTAGAACACACTCACACCGAGTTTACCTCCGAGAACACACAACACACAACAGGCAGTCTACCATCAACCCGAACGCAAAATAGTCTATTTGCTAAAAAATTTGCTCTGAATCGGTGTTAAGTTTAATATTCAAATATATTACAAGTTAAAGAAAAAAAAAGGAAACACGGCTTATTATTATTACCAACGGACGATCATTCATAGGACAACATCTCCAGTATCAATACGCTATCAACTTTGAAGTCCTAGTACTCATCCGACTTCAGAGCCACAAGGAAACAGGAACATCAGCGAAACCCAATCATTCAATTTTTTGCATCACAAAGGTAGGCTCATTCATAGCATCATGAATTCCCATATCGCGTCCCGTTTTCCTACAATGGCTTCCACCGACATCCAAATCAGCACTTTACGCCGTAAACGTAGCAACATTATCGGTCAAATTGCAACACTTACCAGAGTTCTGGATAATTCACAAGATCCAGATCACTGCGATAAACTACTAGTAACAGAACATCTCAATGGACTTGTTAAATCGTGGAATCGGTTCGATGATATTCAATTTGAAATATAAACGCTAGAGTCATCGGAAGAAACGCGACGATCAGAGATCCAATGCGATTATTACGCAGTTGTAGCCCGTGCGAAACGAATTCTTCAACAAGACGAGCCACTGAACAACACGCGCAACAACCTTACTGAGTCACCAGCATCTATCATATCAGACCCCGTAGCCGTAAAATTACCGGAGATGCGATTACCGACGTTCGACGGATCCATTGAAAATTGATCATCCTTCTACGACCTGTTCTCATCGATGATCATCCGCAACGAAAACCTCACCCCAGTGCAAAAATTGCAATACCTAAGATCAACTCTCACCGGGAAAGCCGCCACATGCATCAAATCGTTGAGAACGACCGATGTGAACTACCTTCCCGCGATTGAAACACTAAAAGAAAAAAACGACTGGGAAATGACATTTGGTGACAAACTGTGGATCATAAAAGAAATACTTGAGTAGAAGACGTAAATGGCTTTTAATGAAATTGCTTACTACGGGTGGTCTGGAATTTCTGTTGTTTTGTCCAAGTGTATAAAATAAGCTATTTCTTTGGGCCTTCGGTCCCTGGGTTATCCACATCTGGCAAGTTTCGTCTTCCCAGGGACGTGGATGGCCAGCAATGTTTGAATCGAGAGCATAATATTTCCTCGCTTGATTTATAAAGTGGTTGTTTATGTTTGTATGTGTGAATTTACTTGGTTAATATATATATATATATATATATATATATATATATATATATATATATATATATATATATTAAGGTATATATGATTAGTAACTTAAAATGCTACATTACAATATTAGCGACGATTGGTAGGGAATAGGAGATTTATCTTATGAACTATAAGATAAATAATAATGAAACTTTTTTCCTATCCACATATTTCATGTCCTTTTATGATTAAGTTGTCCTCTCGTGGTTGTCCTCTCCGATTGACACAGTAACGGCACTAGTTTTTTCACGCTCCGATCGAACACGTTCGTGGCTGTCCTGATAGTAACTACGCGAACAATGCCGTCGGAGCCTGGGTGAGTTTTAATGACTCGTCCGAGAGGCCATTGCATTGAGGGTACGTTGTCTTCTCGGAGTAGAACGATTCCACCTTTGATGATGGGATGTTGTCCTCTGGTCCACTTATTGCGATTTGCCAGTTCATTCAGGTACTTGTGATGCCAGCGCTTCCAGAAATGCTGTTTCAATTGTTGAACACGCTGCCATGCTGACAATCGATTTGCAGTAGTTTCTTGTAGATCGCGATCGCGCAAGCTCGTGAGTGCATTACCGATGAGGAAATGACCTGGAGTTAGTGCGAGGAGGTCGGAGGTATCTGACGAAAGTGGAATGAGGGGTCGAGAGTTGAGGATGGCTTCGACATCTATGATCAGCGTATTGAGCCCTTCGAATGTGAGTAATTCAAGGCCTACGACGCGCTTTAGATGATGTTTAAAAGACTTTACCGCAGCTTCCCATAATCCTCCAAAATGTGGAGCTTGTGGAGGAATAAAATGTCAATTGATGGCTCGTTCAGTGAGGAAGGTGTTGATTTTTTTGAGATGGTCGTCGGATCGTAAGAGTTCGGTTAGGTCATTAACTAGTTCGAGATGGATCGCTTTTATTGCGAGACAAATAAAAAGTGCGACATAAACCTTGACTCGACCGCGGTTGCGCTGTTGTTTTTCCTTGATAAAAGAAAGTCCGCAGTAGTCGATACCTACGTTTGTGAATGGACGTGATTCTGTCACTCGAGCTATTGGCAGATTACCCATAATATATTCCATGGATGGAGGACTTGCTCTCCATACCTGATTTCTACCGTCTATTGGCAAGTTTCGTCTTCCCAGGGACGTGGATGGCCAGCAATGTTTGAATCGAGGACATCATATTTCCTCGCTTGATTTATAAAGATTCCGTCATACAACGGAACAGCTTTTTTCTGATCTTGGTTGAGTTTGCTAATATTATCATTAAGCTGCTCTATGTCTATAGATTGAGATATGTTTTCATTACTTATATTTGTAGGTTCAGATAAATTGTAGTAAGTTAAGACTTGATTGTGTACCTCAAATATACTTTTAAGTCTAATGAGTACCTCATTTGCTTTATCAACCAAACTATCTATATCCTCAGACATATCTTCAACGTATCTGTTGAATAATTCATCAGCATAATCGAAGCATTGAATTGTCTATTCAAATAATTGAAGGTGCTTGTGTACTGACAGTTTCGTCATTAATCCACTCATTATTGTCGATCAATAGGTTTCTTTCCCTTGCAGATTGTTCAAATGTATCAAATTTAATAACTTTGACAGTTTTAAGGTCATCATAGGATGTCACACCTTTAACATTAAGTAGTAAGATTCCGAGATAGAATCTTTCTTTTTCGTTTGGACTTACAGAGTATAATCTAGTCATAACTTTAGCATAATCTGATTATCGTAATCTGATTATGTTATGCGATTATGTTAGTCTCCACATAGCTTCCGGTGCAGCAATATACCTTGTATTAATATCTCATTATTGTTATATGTATATACGAATGCTTGCACAATCAACCCTTGTACATGTATTATATTTGAATATACAGGGTGTTCCACAATTATTTTAACAGTCGAAAATGAGGGGTAGCTGAGGTCATTTGAAGTAACTTTTTCCTTTGCGAAAATGCAATCTGGGGCTTTGTTTACGAGTTATTAACGGAAAACACTGGCCAATGAGAGGTGACGGTGCGAGAGAGAGAGAGAGAGAGAGAGAGAGAGAGAGAGAGAGAGTCCGCGAGAGAGTCCGCAGCACGAGGCTTTGACAGAAGGTCGGGACGGACTCGAGCCGCGTTCGAAGTATTGAACAAGTCACAAGGCGAGAACTTCCCGGATTTTTTTACTACATAACAGTGATATTTTTAAGAAAAACGCTGTTCACCTTTACTTTAGAACGTCTGAAGAATATTTACTAATTTTTCGGACCCGAAATAATATGAAGTTTAACCGTAACAGCCGTCTTAATTTTCTGGCAATTTGCAAAGCAGATTTAATAATAAATAAGGGACGTAAAGGATTTGTTTATTAGAGAGATATGAAAAATATTATCAGTAAGAAACTCACCCATCTAGTTGAGGATGCATTTGCTGGCTGAAATTCACGATGTCGAAGGGCCCTGACCTTGTACAACGTACAACTGATCTTTCACTACACTGTCACCAAACACTGATCACTTAATCAAAGATGACGAAAGATGACTGAGACGCGTTTGCAGATAATCGTTTATACGACACGTNGATAATCCGAATCACTTGTGGATATTTAAGAAAGATCACTGAGACTCGTTCGCGGATAATCGTTTATTCGGCGCATTCGTTCGGCAGTCGACGTTTCACTGCCAAAAAATCGAGACCTCGACCGTGGGCCCTTGTCGTTCGTCTTTCGGCCGTCCGAGGAAATAACACCCGATACCATTTTCTTCGAAGCGCGGGGTACCGCTAAATGAAATAAACAAGATATGCCGAGACGTAAACTGTGTCCGACCCGCTGTCACCGACGGTACCCTGCGCTCTTAGAACGTAATTAATGGCCGTGCGAAGAAAATGGTATCGAGTGTCATTTCCTCGGACGGCCGAACGA